AGAACTGAACTAGAACTGAACTGACTGAACTAGAACTGAACTAGAACTGAACTAGAACTGACTAGAACTGAACTAGAACTGAACTAGAACTGAACTAGAACTGAACTAGAACTGATTAGAACTGAACTAGAACTGAACTAGAACTGAACTAGAACTGAATTAGAACTGAACTAGAACTAGAACTGAACTAGTTTAGTTTATTCTATTTGTCTTATAACATTTATCACCAGTGTGTCTTAAATATTTAGCCTAGAAAAACAATTTCACATTTAAGTAACTCAATGACAATAACTGTAAATTGTAAACAATATATTGTTAAAATACATTTTTACGATCTCTAAATTACAGCTAAATAAAAAAAATAATCATTATTATCACGGAGTACACAAAAACATGTTTCAAATATTTAATTAATCAGTAATTTGAAAATTATAAGCAATAAACAAATCATAATTAATAAATAAAAAAATAACAACAATAATATAAAACTATTATCGAAATTTTTAATCAAAATTTAGTTATAATTACACAAGATTACAATTAAAACAATTGTTTTGAAAATTTTTGTTCTTTCTACAAAAGCAGCCTTAAAGTAGACTTTAATTTTAAAAAAACTTCTGTTCTGGAATAGGTGATTCAATTAAACCATATGCATTTGGTATTGCATTAAGGACTTTCTTTTAGATCATAAACAGTATATAAGAGACCAACTTTAGTCACGTTAAAAACTTTATTTGCATTTCAATTAACTTTCCACTCCTTTAAACTTAAACAATTATGTTTGTTTTTCTTAATTTTATGGAAATTTTTTAAAGTCTGTAATTTATGTAAGTGCTTAACACATGTTATAGCTTGTAAAACTTTTATTTTTATATTTTTAATTGCAGACATGTATGTTTAATAATTTTTTTTCTGTTTATTACATTATTTAAGATTTCTTTAAACAACCGGATTTTAAATAATCTCCCACCTTAAGTTTTAAAAAGTATCACGTTTTAAAACTTTTTTTTCCAAACTTATTTGTATCATTCCCAATGTTATGAATTGAAAAAAACGGACCATTTTTACAAGTAATACAGTGCTAAAACACACCTTTATTATAGTTGAAAGAAATTTGCTAAAATTAAACACAATGTAGGTCACTATCAAAGATTATGTCGTTAAAAATTGTTTTGTTGTTAATACAAAAGTTTAAACGTGTGTGAAATTATTAAATATCCTTTTATAAAAGATTTTTAGAGGGATTTTAAAAAATATAAAATTTCGTTACAACTTTTATGTTTTTTTATGAATTCATATATAATTATTTTTTATTTATAAAATCTTGTTTAATTTTCCTGAAGTGTTAACGCCATGTTCTCTTATTGCCAACCATTTTTTTACTAAAATGTCAATAAAGTATTTTATTTATTATTTTTTATTTTTAACACACATTTTTTTGTTAACAACTGAAACTATTTGTCAAAGTGGTCTAGTTTAGTAATATTCATATTACTTGCATGTTTTAATAAATTAAATTTTTATTAAATAATTTTATTTCTATCTCCTCTTTCCGCTCACACTATTTACAGCAAAATTTTGCATTTTGCGTCAAATTCAAATTTTAAATTTGTGATCAAGTTAAGTGCTTGGAAAGAAGTTCAGCAGCCAGCGTTTTGGTGCTTCCCCCTTATAGCTTGTATTAATTTTATTAAACAAATTTGTTGGGCTCCTACTATTTCTTGACAAATACCATAAAATGTTAATGATTAAACAAATATTGTTTATTTGTTTTGTTGTTTCAGACATATAACTGACGAAACAAAAAAAATTTTAATTTAAAGGAAGATTTTTGTATAATAAAAAATGTAATTTCATAACACTTTTTATGATGTGTAATTTTACAATTAATTATTGCATTTAATTAATATTAATCGGCAGACGCGGATTTGAAATGCACTTTACATTACATAAATTAAAAGTTTCTGTATTATTAGGTTATAATAAAAAACGATACTTATAGTTCATTTCTAGTTCAGATCTAATTCAGTTCTAGTTCAGTTCTAGTTCAGTTCTAGTTCAGTTCTAGTTCAGTTCTAGTTCAGTTCTAGTTCAGTTCTAGTTCAGTTCTAGTTCAGTTCTAGTTCAGTTCTAGTTCAGTAGTTCAGTTCTAGTTCAGTTCTAGTTCAGTTCTAGTTCAGTTCTAGTTCAGTTCTAGTTCAGTTCTAGTTCAGTTCTAGTTCAGTTCTAGTTCAGTTCTAGTTCAGTTCTAGTTCAGTTCTAGTTCAGTTCTAGTTTAGTTCTAGTTCAGTTCTAGTTCAGTTCTAGTTCAGTTCTAGTTCAGTTCTAGTTCAGTTCTAGTTCAGTTCTAGTTCAGTTCTAGTTCAGTTCTAGTTCAGTTCTTCTAGTTCAGTTCTAGTTCAGTTCTAGTTCAGTTCTAGTTCAGTTCTAGTTCAGTTCTAGTTCAGTTCTAGTTCAGTTTCTAGTTCAGTTCTAGTTCAGTTCTAGTTCAGTTCTAGTTCAGTTCTAGTTCAGTTCTAGTTCAGTTCTAGTTCAGTTCTAGTTCAGTTCTAGTTCAGTTCTAGTTTCAGTTCTAGTTCAGTTCTAGTTCAGTTCTAGTTCAGTTCTAGTTCAGTTCTAGTTCAGTTCTAGTTCAGTTCTAGTTCAGTTCTAGTTCAGTTCTAGTTCAGTTCTAGTTCAGTTCTAGTTCAGTTCTAGTTCAGTTCTAGTTCAGTTCTAGTTCATTTCTAGTTCAGTTCTAGTTCAGTTCTAGTCAGTTCTAGTTCAGTTCTAGTTCAGTTCTAGTCAGTTCTAGTTCAGTTCTAGTTCAGTTCTAGTTCCGTTCTAGTTCAGTTCTAGTTTCAGTTCTAGTTCAGTTCTAGTTCTAGTCTAGTTCAGTTCTAGTTCAGTTCTAGTTCAGTTCTAGTTCAGTTCTAGTTCAGTTCTAGTTCAGTTCTAGTTCAGTTCTAGTTCAGTTCTAGTTCATTTCTAGTTCAGTTCTAGTTCAGTTCTGTTCAGTTCTAGTTCAGTTCTAGTTCAGTTCTAGTTCAGTTCTAGTTCAGTTCTAGTTCAGTTCTAGTTCAGTTCTAGTTCAGTTCTAGTTCAGTTCTAGTTCAGTTCTAGTTCAGTTCTAGTTCAGTTCTAGTTCAGTTCTAGTTCAGTTCTAGTTCGTTCTAGTTCAGTTCTAGTTCAGTTCTAGTTCAGTTCTAGTTCAGTTCTAGTTCAGTTCTAGTTCAGTTCTAGTTCAGTTCTAGTTCAGTTCTAGTTCAGTTCTAGTTTCAGTTCTAGTTCAGTTCTAGTTCAGTTCTAGTTCAGTTCTAGTTCAGTTCTAGTTCAGTTCTAGTTCAGTTCTAGTTCAGTTCTAGTTCAGTTCTAGTTCAGTTCTAGTCAGTTCTAGTTCAGTTCTAGTTCAGTTCTAGTTCAGTTTCTAGTTCATTCTAGTTCGTTCTAGTTCAGTTCTAGTTCAGTTCTAGTTCAGTTCTAGTTCAGTTCTAGTTCAGTTCTAGTTCAGTTCTAGTTCAGTTTCTAGTTCAGTTCTAGTTCAGTTCTAGTTCAGTTCTAGTTCAGTTCTAGTTCAGTTCTAGTTCAGTTCTAGTTCAGTTCTAGTTCAGTTCTAGTCAGTTCTAGTTCAGTTCTAGTTCAGTTCTAGTTCAGTTCTAGTTCAGTTCTAGTTCAGTTCTAGTTTCAGTTCTAGTTCAGTTCTAGTTCAGTTTCTAGTTCAGTTCTAGTTCAGTTCTAGTTCAGTTCTAGTTCAGTTCTAGTTCAGTTCTAGTTCAGTTCTAGTTCAGTTCTAGTTCAGTTCTAGTTCAGTTCTAGTTCAGTTCTAGTTCAGTTCTAGTTCAGTCTAGTTTCAGTTAGTTCAGTTCTAGTTCAGTTCTAGTTCAGTTCTAGTTCAGTTCTAGTTCAGTTCTAGTTCAGTTCTAGTTCAGTTCTAGTTCAGTTCTAGTTTCAGTTCTAGTTCAGTTCTAGTTCAGTTCTAGTTCAGTTCTAGTTCAGTTCTAGTTCAGTTCTAGTTCAGTTCTAATTCAGTTCTAGTTCAGTTCTAGTTCAGTTCTAGTTCTAGTTCAGTTCTAGTTCAGTTCTAGTTCAGTTCTAGTTCAGTTCTAGTTCAGTTCTAGTTCAGTTCTAGTTCAGTTCTAGTTCAGTTCTAGTTCAGTTCTAGTTCTAGTTCAGTTCTAGTTCTTCTGTTCAGTTCTAGTTCAGCACATTAATTACCTAAGAGTGAATTCTCTGTATGGAAAATTCTATGCTATAAAATATTTACCGTTTTTTACAATCTTTATAGAATATAAATTCTTTTTAATAATCAATTATAAATTCATTATTGTTAGATAATAAATCATTAACCACTTCTTTTGCCTATTGAAATTCCCAACCATTTTATTTGCTCCTCACTGTATAACTCGAGGTGGGTGCCAGTAGTACGTGAAATTAATAGTAAAGAACTAGCCTTACATTTCAAAGTTTAATAATAAAATTATCATGGCTTAGACTCATAAATAGCCAAGACTTCAAACATTTGCAATATATTTTTCTCCCCACTTTTTTCGAAACTATAATCCATAAAACAAACATAAGTAAAGTAAAAATCAATTAGCATTTTTTTGGTTATTTAAACATATTTTGGAGTGTGTGTTATATATAATTTTTTTTGTCTAACAAATATTTGGTAAATATAATCATGGCTAAATTTGGCAATAAAAAAATATTTGCATATTAGACTTTATTGATAGAAACAGTTAAGAAAATAACAATTGATTTGAAATAAATATAACAACAGGTTTTTTTTTAAATAAAATAATTGCAAATAAAAATTAAGCAAAGAAATTAACACAAAAATAATTTAACAAAAAATTTATTGTAATTTAACACAATTTGTAGCCAATAAATAACATTAACTTTGTAATTAGTTTCAACAAATTTTTTAACAGTTTTTTTGGTTTTACAAAAAAAAACAATGAAAAAAATTTACATAAATTAAACTCAAATAAAATTTTTTGTATTTGCTTGTATAATTTTAGCCAAAAGCTGGTTTCGAGCCAGACACAGCCTCACTCAGAGAGAAAGTTATACTCAATCCGGGTGAAAAATGGCGTATATTGAAAAATATTAGCATAATTTCGTTTGCTTTTATGGTACAATTTACAGCGTTTCAGGTAAGTTTCAGCTTTATAGATTTTATTATCTTCAAACTTTTATTTTTTTATAATACAATTAATATATTTTGTTTGTTTTATTAATAGGGTACGGCAAATTTACAGTCCTCAATTAATGCAGAAGATGGTCTGGGTACCGTGTCACTCAGTGCCATTTATGCGGCTCTAGTTGTTTCCTGTATATTCCTGCCTACTTTAATTATTCGTAAATTGACCGTTAAATGGACCTTGGTATTCAGTATGTTGTGCTATGCCCCCTACATTGCCTTCCAATTGTTCCCTAAGTAAGTTGATTTTTTGTTAAGATTTTTTTTTTAAGTTTGTTCCTAACCATTTCTGTTTAATTTGAATAGATTTTATACATTGGTTCCTGCTGGTATTCTAGTCGGTTTGGGTGCTGCTCCTATGTGGGCGTCCAAAGCTACATATTTGACTCAAGTCGGTCAAGTTTATGCCAAAATTACAGAACAGGCTGTGGATGCTATTATTGTAAGATTCTTTGGCTTCTTCTTTTTGGCCTGGCAAACAGCTGAATTGTGGGGAAATCTTATCTCCAGTCTTGGTAAGTTTAAATTCGATTGTAAACATTTTGATGTCTATGTTAGAGATCTGAAAGTTAAGTTATGATTAGCTTCAGAAGCTTTTTTCCAGCTTTTTAAACTTTGAAATATTTCTATAGCTTTAAAAGCTTTTTAAACGCTTTATTCCGTTTTAATAATGAGTAATTTCAAATTCTCTAATTTAACTATTTCTCTTCTCTCCTACAGTGCTCTCTAGTGGTGCTCATGGTAGCGGTGGCGGTGATGCCAACAGCACTATTTCCGAAGAAGATCTCAAATACTGTGGTGCCAATTTCTGCGTGAACGGTGCCAGCGGTCACACCAACTTGGAACGTCCTCCAGATCATGAAATCTTCGAAATCTCCATGATCTACTTGTCTTGTATCATTGCTGCTGTGGCCATTATTGCCTTTTTCTTGGATCCCCTCAAGCGTTATGGTGAAAAACGTAAAGGCTCTCAATCGGCTCAGGAATTATCCGGCATGGAATTGTTGTCGGCCACTTTCCGTCAAATGAAGAAAACCCAATCAACAATTGCTCATACCCATCACTGTATTCATTGGCATGGAACAGGCTTTCATTGGTGCTGACTTTACACAGGCCTATGTATCCTGTGCCTTGGGTATCCATCAAATTGGTTTCGTTATGATTTGCTTTGGTGTCGTCAATGCCATCTGTTCGATTTTGTTCGGTTCAGTGATGAAATACATTGGTCGTACTCCCATCATTGTTTTGGGTGCTGTTGTGCATTTCACCTTGATCACCGTAGAATTGTTCTGGCGTCCTAGTCCCGACAATCCTTTGATCTTCTATGCCATGTCCGGTCTCTGGGGTGTAGGTGATGCTGTTTGGCAGACACAAATTAACGGTTTATATGGTCTGTTGTTCAGACGTAACAAGGAAGCTGCCTTCTCCAATTATCGTCTCTGGGAATCGGCTGGCTTTGTGATCGCTTATGCTTATGCCACCACCTTGTGTGCACGCATGAAGCTTTACATTCTATTGGCTGTATTGACTTTGGGTTGCATTGGCTATGTCATTGTAGAAATTCTCTACAGAAAGAAGGTAAACTAAAGCATTTCTCTATTCGAAAACTTTAAACTAACATAATTTTTTGTATTTTCTTTATAGCAACGTAAAATCAAGAAGCAAGAAAAGGCTGAATTGGCTGAAAAAGAGAAAGAAGCTGCTGCTGCTAAAGCTGCTGCCGAGGCTAATGTCAATGGCACTCCAGAAGTTGAAGAAACCGATGACGAATTGGATGATCTCGAAGAAGATATTGTAGTCACACATTTCTAAACAAAAATAACATTTCATTAAAACACAACCACACAAACAAACTAACAATTTTATTGTTGAAAAAAAGCTGTTTAAAGCTTTTGTTATAACAAACTACCACTTATAACTTAGTAACAACATAAAAGCTTTCCTAGGCTTTAAGCTTAGTTATTACTAAAGTTGTATTTAGAAAATTTTCATTAAAATTTTTTGTTTTCTCATAAAAATCTAATGAAAATTTCCAAAAAAAAAAGAAAAAAGAAAAGTTTCGAAAATTGTATATAAACTAAAAAAACTCTGTAAGAAAACAGAAACTTTTGTTAAATATTACTTAAGAACTAACACGAAAAAGAAAGAAAAAACATGTGAAAGTGTACAATGGTCTGTCCATGGGGAAACAAAAAAAACAAATATTTCCAAATGTCTCCAGAAACCACAAGCACAAAAATTATGTAAATGTAGTGAAAATAGTAAAAAATTCATGGAAATATAATTCTCTTTTTTTTCCAAAACTATCACAACACTCCACCTCTCTCGCACTATCTCTCTAATACACTTTCATTAAGCTCAAACTATGAAATGTTTTAGTTTTCTCTTAAATATCATCATTATATGCTCAGTATTATGTTAAGTTTTAAGAAAATTTTATTTTTTTTTAAATATTTCTTTTACTTATTTCTTTGCTTTCGTTCATTATTACATTTCATATTCTATTCTCTAATTATTTTATTTTTATTTGTCTATTTTACTGTTTTTACTACACTTCGACTCTACTTTTTAAAAAATCATTAGTTTAATTATTCATTTTATTTTATTTTTAAAATTGTTCTATTTTATTTCGCGTTTTTTTTTTTGTTTTTTCTTAGAAAAAAAGCTCTTTTTTTTCTTAAAGCTTTTAATTTTTATTTGTTTTATCTATTTGAAATCGTTTTTGAATAGTAGTTTATTTAAGTAGTTATATTAATTTAAACAAATTTTATTTTCAAATTTATTGAAATTGTGTTTTTTGGTTGTGATCGATCATTTTAATAATTTTAATTGCAAAAATTTGCAAAAAACATAATTTTATTAATTGAAAAACAAAATATTGTAAAATAAAACAAAAAAATTTAAAAAAAAAAAAAATTATACGAAGAATCAATATTATAAAATAATAGCTGTATGAAACTGTCAAATTGTGAATTAAATATTTTACATGAAACATGTAATAATATTTAAGAAAAAATCGAAAAAAGAAGAATCATAAAAAAACTTTTAGTTTAATTATACTATTAATATTATTATATTAATAAAAATTGTATTTTAAGAAATAAAGAAAAATTATTTTGTTCAAAAAAAAAAAAAAAAAAAAAATTAAGAGTTTTTATTGGGGAATCTAGGGTGAATAAACTCAAGGGTGAAAGTTAAGCTAGACAGGGTTATTCAACCGTAGTCATAGTACTATAGAGATAGTTTTATTAAAAAAAAACTATAAAGGAAATCGTTTAAAAAAGTTATATTATTGGAGAAATCATTCTTTGTAGCAAGGGATGTCAACAGCATTCAATTGTAACAAATAATTATATGTATACAAAATCATTTCAATGCAGCTTTATTATAAACTTTAGACTGACTGTAGGTCAACAGCTTAGTCCGTATACTAGTCCAAATATTAATCCTTATACTAGTTAACAGACTACACCATAGAAAAGTCATTAGACATTAGTAGATAGTCCAGTAAAAAGTACTTTAAAAGTAATTGCACTTCTAGGCCGGGAAAAGGAGAGGACAAAGGGGAACGAGCGGAGAGAAAAAGCGGAAAGAAGGGGGAGACGAAAAAAGGAGAGAGACCGAGGGAGGCAGGGAGGGGAGAGCGAGCGAGGAGCGAGCGAGCGAGCGAGCGAGAGCGAGCGAGCGAGCGAGCGAGCGAGAGAGCGAGCGAGCGAGCGAGCGAGCGAGCGAGCGAGCGAGCGAGCGAGCGAGCGAGCGAGCGAGCGAGCGAGCGAGCGAGCGAGCGAGCGAGCGAGCGAGCAGCGAGCGAGCGAGCGAGCGCGAGCGAGCGAGCGAGCGAGCGAGCGAGCGAGCGAGGAGCGAGCGAGCGAGCGAGCGAGCGAGCGAGCGAGCGAGCGAGCGAGCGAGCGAGCGAGCGAGAGCGAGCGAGAGCGAGCGAGCGAGCGAGCGAGCGAGCGAGCGAGCGAGAGAGCGAGCGAGCGAGGAGCGAGCGAGCGAGCGAGCGAGCGAGCGAGCGAGCGAGCGAGCGAGCGAGCGAGCGAGAGCGAGCGAGCGAGCGAGCGAGCGAGCGAGCGAGCGAGCGAGCGAGCGAGCGAGCGAGCGAGCGAGCGAGCGAGCGAGCGAGCGAGCGAGCGAGCGAGCGAGCGAGCGAGCGAGCGAGCGAGCGAGCGAGCGAGCGAGCGAGCGAGCGCGAGCGAGCGAGAGAGCGAGCGAGCGAGCGAGGAGCAGCGAGCGAGCGAGCGAGCGAGCGAGCGAGCGAGCGAGCGAGCGAGCGAGCGAGCGAGCGAGCGAGCGAGAGCGAGCGAGCGAGCGAGCGAGCGAGCGAGCGAGCGAGCGAGCGAGCGAGCGAGCGAGCGAGCGAGCGAGCGAGCGAGCGAGCGAGCGAGCGAGCGAGCGAGCGAGCGAGCGAGCGAGCGAGCGAGCGAGCGAGCGAGAGAGAGCGAGCGAGCGAGCGAGCGAGCGAGCGAGCGAGCGAGCGAGCGAGCGAGCGAGCGAGCGAGCGAGCGAGCGAGAGCGAGGAGCGAGAGAGCGAGCGAGCGAGCGAGCGAGCGAGCGAGCGAGGAGAGCGAGCGAGCGAGCGAGCGAGCACGAGCGAGCGAGCGAGCGAGCGAGCGAGCGAGCGAGCGAGCGAGCGAGAGAGAGAGCGAGCCGAGCGAGCGAGCGAGCGAGCGAGCGAGCGAGCGAGCGAGCGAGCGAGCGAGCGAGAGAGCGAGCGAGCGAGCGAGAGCGAGGAGCGAGCGAGCAGAGCGAGCGAGCGAGGAGAGCGAGCGAGCGAGCGAGCGAGCGAGCGAGCGAGCGAGCGAGCGAGCGAGGAGCGAGCGAGACGAGCGAGCGAGCGAGCGAGCGAGCGAGCGAGCGAGCGAGAGAGCGAGCGAGCGAGCGAGCGAGCGAGGAGCGAGCGAGCGAGCGAGCGAGCGAGCGAGCGAGCGAGCGAGCGAGCGAGCGAGCGAGCGAGAGAGCGAGCGAGCGAGCGAGCGAGCGAGACGAGCGAGCGAGCGAGCGAGCGAGCGAGCGAGCGAGCGAGCGAGCGAGCGAGCGAGCGAGCGAGCGAGCGAGCGAGCGAGCGAGCGAGCGAGCGAGCGAGCGAGCGAGCGAGCGAGCGAGAGAGCGAGAGAGCGAGCGAGCGAGCGAGCGAGCGAGCGAGCGAGCGAGCGAGCAGCGAGAGCGAGCGAGCGAGCGAGCGAGCGAGAGCGAGCGAGCGAGCGAGCGAGCGAGCGAGCGAGCGAGCGAGCGAGCGAGCGAGCGAGCGAGCGAGCGAGCGAGCGAGCGAGCGAGCGCGAGAGCGAGCGAGCGAGCGAGCGAGAGAGCGAGCGAGCGAGCGAGCGAGCGAGCGAGCGAGCGAGCGAGCGAGAGAGAGCGAGCGAGCGAGCGAGCGAGCGAGCGAGCGAGCGAGCGAGCGAGCGAGCGAGCGAGCGAGAGAGCGAGCGAGGACGAGCGAGCGAGAGAGCGAGCGAGCGAGCGAGCGAGCGAGCGAGAGCGAGCGAGCGAGCGAGCGAGCGAGCGAGCGAGCGAGCGAGAGAGCGAGCGAGCGAGCGAGCGAGCTAGCGAGCGAGCGAGCGAGCGAGCGAGCGAGAGCGAGCGAGCGAGCGAGAGAGCGAGCGAGGCTAGCTAGCGAGCAGCGAGCGAGCGGCGACGAGCGAGAGATCTAGCGAGCTAGATATAGATCTATCTATCGATCTATCTATATAGCTAGAGATCTATCTCAATCAATTTCACCCAAAACCTCTCAAAAGCACTGTGCTCAGTTACTTTATTTTATAACATATCTACATACATATGTATTAAAATTTTAAACTACTTTTTTGTTAAAAATGTTCAAAAAGTAGAAAAAATTAACTTAATAAGTTAATATTTAAAACTTAACTTTTATTAAACA